TGCTGTGTAGTCAGTGCTCTAATTGCCTTTCTCCTCTCCGGAGCTGGCTGTATTTCGCTGGAGCTCTTTTACTGTGGTGTGTGAGGGTTTTTTGGAGGAGGGCAGGGGAAATGTTTCTGAAAAGCTGATAGATGAGCTGCCAAATTACCGGAACCTGTTGCTCTTGGCTCCTAATGAAAGCTTTCTCCTCCTTCTCTGTCAGGTCCCGATCTCCTAGGCGCAGATCCCCTGTTCGCCGGCGATCAAGATCCAGATCTCCCGGACGACGGCGCCATCGCAGCCGCTCCAGCTCAAACTCCTCACGATAAAGCAAAAAGACTGGACAGCTTTTTATTTTTTAACTTAAATCCCGTCAGACTAAATATTGTACTTTTTTTTTATAATGGGTCTGGGTGAGGAGGAGTGGGGGAGAGAGAGAGTATCCTGGCAGTGAAGGCAACCTAAGAGGAGTGAGCAGCAGTTCCCGGCCTTTGCTGTGGGGCTCCTAGTTTCCTGGCATTGAATTGAAATTATTTAAAAATGGCTTTGATTTTAAAGGCTGCAGAAACATCTTTTCCAGGTAAATGGAAGGAAAGATGTTGCAGCCTCTCTTTCTCCAATTAGCAGGCTGCTGCTTGGTGATTTCTAAACGCTTAGCACGCTGTACAGACAAGCATGTAAATCTTGAGCTATTTCAGAACCCTGTATAGTAAGACAGGGAGGCATTGAGCTTGATCTCTAGGTGCCAGCACAGGATTTGTCAGAGCAGCTGGAGTCCAGATCTGCCTGAGACTTAAATGCCAAGTTGTCGCTTTATTCCGATTCCCAAACAGATGATTAGTTTCTGCAGATTAAGCTCCTCTGTAATGCTTATACCAGGCGATCACCACAGAAACAGCAATCCGGCCCACCGGATGCGGTGCTTTAGAAAAGAAGCTGGAAATCTTAAGAACTGGTTTGTAGCTGCCCCCGTAAGTGATTTCTTTCACCTTTTCTTAAAGGGTTTTGGTAGAAGCTTCCTACACAGCCCCCCGGTGAAACGGTGCGAGCGCTTCTGCTTTTGCGACTCTCAAATTAGCCGCTGAGCGTCACCCCCCTGGAAGCTGCAAGGCAGAGAGGGAGGCTCGAGGCCACGATGCTGTCTGCATTAACTGGGGTTCACAGAGGGAAAGGCAAAGAATTTACCACCTGTTGTACAGTCAATACTATACAGATTTTTTTTGTTTTGTTTTGTATCACTTTGTAGCCTTTTGGGCCATGTTGTGTTTGTACTTGTGTAGGACGAGCGACTTGAATAAAGCAGTAGGGTTGAGAATAGCCGGCCTGCCTCGCTCCCTTCTCCGGCGCCGTCTCTGCGCAGGCGCGGGGAGGCCGGCGGTG